GATCCCAGCCATTGTGGGCTTTCTGTCCTGTAGGGATGGGTTCCGGCCTCTGAAGGAGTAGGGCTTGTTTTGTTGTGTATGATTTTTTTGTGCCCAGCCTTCCTGCATGCCTGTTTGAAGTGGGCACCACAAGGAGACAGAGACGTGGAAAGAAATACGTGAGAAACAGGCATTGTCCATCCTCACAAAGAGCTTTCAGTCCAGCTGGTAAACCTAAATGAACATGTAACAACATAAACTTGCATTTGATTTATAGTTACATTTTCTAAGCACTTAGAAATTTTTTTTTATTTTTTATTATTTTTTTTTAATAAAAGATGACCGGTAAGGGGATCTCAACCCTTGGCTTGGTGTTGTCAGCACCACGCTCAGCCAGTGAGCGAACCGGCCATCCCTATATAGGATCCGAACCCGCGGTCTTGGTGTTATCAGCACCGCACTCTACCGAGTGAGCCACGGGCCGGCCCAGAAATTTTTTTTATTTGGAAATAATTTCAAACATACAGAAAAGTTGCAAGAATAAGAATAGCACAGTGAACAATCCATGTACACTTTATTCCAATTCACCTATTATTAATATTTTTTCATTTGCATTTTTATTATAAGGGATGTAGAATGATTTTTTACAAATATTTTATAATTCGTATTGTTGTTATTTTGGTGCTCATTTTCCCCATATTTGGCTGGTGGGAGACACTTCTCTAGCTCCTGTATCCTTATGGCGTGTCCCCCTCTTGTTTCTGTTTGTTTTTGTTTGTGAGCGCTTCCTTATTTTCTTCATTTTGTACCTACCTTGCCCTAGCCCTGGAATCAGCCATTTCTCCAAAGATCCCTGGTTCCTTGTAACAGGGAATGTCATTAGAGACCAAGATGTGGCCTCCAAGCATACTCGTATCTACTGGGATGTCTTTGCTTCTAGATCCTTTCAACACACAGAACTAGGAAAAGTGTGCATTTCTGTACACATATACATACACACACTTACATTGATACAGATACTCATATATCAGCATCTTTCGAAAATCAGACATTGGAAATCAAGCTTTGAAACAAACGTCTTTTAGAAGTCACGAGTTCACAACTCTACCTCCACTTCCAGTCCATCCCAGAGGGTTCCTTCTAGTACTCCTGCATTGCGTGTTCCTACCTACCTTCTTCCACAGTGAGAGCTCTAGTTCCCAGCAGCATTAACCGTTTACTCATTTGTCAACTCCTATAACACATCTAAAAGAGTTTCAGAATGGTCTCATCCATGTCACTACAAGAAAACCCACAAGAAAGAGTTCAGCGTGTGTTTGCAGTTCTTTCGTCATTCCAGTCCTGCCCAGGACTGAGCACACAGTCAGGCGTTCAGAGGCCACTTGCGTTAGTTTTGTCCTTCTCCTTTAGTATTCTTATGGTATCCATCTGAAATACCATCAGATTCACTTGTTTCAATTCACTTTCTGTTTAGAGTATTTTCCTTCCACCTTATCCTTGTTGATTTAACTCAAAAATTTTAAATGTGAAAAACATTAACTTATTTCCCAAAGTCAAAACTACAGGACAAGGTGTACTTAGTCATGTTACTCTTTCCTTTATCCTTTCTATCCCCTTCAATCCCACCCCTTGTTTTCTGCTCTATCCTTTGGACACATCCTACAGAAATATGCATGTTTCCTTCTCTTACTTTTCTTTCCTTTATCCTTTCTATCCCCTTCAATCCCACCCCTGTTTTCTGCTCTATCCTTTGGACACATCCTACAGAAATATGCATGTTTCCTTCTCTTACTTCCCATACTTTTGTGGGTGAAGGGTAGTACACTACAAGTGCTTTTTTGTCCAAGCACTTCTTACATATCTTTTGTTTAGGTCAGACACTCCATAAACAAGATTCTGATCTGGAACAAGTAGGCTCCTAGCACATAACAGTTGTCGGATTTTTAGTCACTTGCAAAAGTCTGATGGTTTCTACCAATAGCTTTGTTATATAAACTTTTGCAACAGTGACTGTTATTTAATCTCTCAGTAATAGGCTTTTTAGAATATGATGAATTCTTATGCAAAATGTAGTCAATTTTTCATCATCTAGTGAGGTTTCTACAAGATGCAGTGGATTTGAGGTGAGATTATCTAGAACGGCAGATTCGTTGTAATAGGAATGAGTTATTTTCAACTGAGCAGATAGCGGTGCAGGAATGACAGGGTTTGCTGGCTCATTACAGTCACTCTGGGCCCTCGGATCCCATGTGTCTTCCTGTGCATCTCCCAATTCTGATGGGCTCGTGGCAGCTTAAAGCCCATTCGAAGTTGATCCTGATTTTTCTCCCCATGGTATTTGAGAAAGCTCTTCCATTTGCCTTTTTAATTTCTCTCTCATGCCCAGATTCAACAACTAGATATTATACATTTGAACATCACATTCATACAGTGCCTTAGTATTTTTTGTAGTGTCATCTTACTGAATGTCTTTCTTAGTCCCTGTGAAACAGTAGAATGGGTATTATTGTGTTGTGTGTTTTGTAGGAGAGGAAGCTGAAGCTTAGAACAGAAAAGTGGCAGAGCTGGGACTAGAATTCAGGTCTTTAGTCTTAGAGCCCTGAGTGCTCTAGGAGGGCTAAGGGAACAACTGGGTTCATCGCACAGACCCCACCTCTCTGCCCCCTTCTTCCACCCTGTCCCATAGCATCAGGAGGAGATTTATGCTGTCTAAATCTCAGTTCTGTCCAAATCAGTAAATGTTACCTGCCTTCTAAGTATTAGGCTATTCAGAACTATCTAAAATCAGTTCAGAGGGTCTGTATTAACAGCTTTGTTATATGAGCTTTTGTAATCGTGACTATTATTTTATGTAAATAAAGCAGGACTTGGCAGGATTTTTATTCTCAGGAATTTTAGTCATAGTAGGGTTTGTCTTATGCCTGCTTAATCATGTCCCAGCAGCCAAGAATGTGCAGCAGTGATGCAGCTTGTTAAGAGGGGATTTTTATATTTCTAATGTAAAAAAAATGCATGAGATATGATATTAAAGCAAAATTTCATTTTGTAAAGTCCTTAAGCTTTGCAGGGGACTCTTTTACTATCTTTGTAATTTTTTCCAAGAACTCATATCAGATGTGAATCCAAAATAAGAACACCCTGTTCGTAAGTAATCATCTAAATTTAGGACCCTCAGTTCAGAATCAAAATATACAAAAAGATTTGTACTAGAATACTTTTTGGTAAATAATAGAATTGAAGGTCCACTTATTCTTTACAATGTATTTAGAAAACAGATTATATAACACATTTTCCTGTGGACACATGACACTCCCAAGTCTTCCTCCTGTTCTGGGTTGTGTTTTTGGATAGAATGTGACTTTTTCAGAGTTCAGAGTAATTTTGTGAATTTACCCAGGGCTCAGTTATGCATTTCCTATATGTCAGGAAGCCCAGGAGGTCTAGAAACCTCAAACCAGCAAGGCAGTACCTTTGAAGTCCCTTCTTTATTGAGAGGGGAATGTGTTCTTTCTAAGAGGAATGCCTTTGGGCTGGGAGGTCAGAGCATATCTCTCTTTCTCCAAACCTCTGAGTCAGCCCCTCTGTGAGTTGTGCCCACGACACCCCACAGCCTTGCCTCCTTCCTCACTTCCCAGGGGGTGGAGTGGAGAAAGGCCAGCCCTACCAGAGCCAAGGATATGTTCTGGGGGCTCAAAAATTGGGGTGATTTAGGAGTAATGAGTGGGGTCCTTTCTAATTGCAGGCAGGGCATGGTACCGTGGTGAGAATTCCAGTTTCATATCTGAAGTACTGGCATCACTGAGTATTCAGGTATCTGTTCAGCTCCTTGACAGCCTGGAGTTGAGGGGGAAAAGTGAAGAGAGAAAACAGGGGTTAGCTTTTTGACAGCAGGTCATTTCTCATGTGTCAGGTTGGGCTGATGAGGTCCCTGCAAGGGAGATGTGCTGGCTTTGAATTGGAAGGGAGGTGGGAAGGGGAGAGGGGTCTGTGTGCAGAGGCTCCCCTGCCTCTAACTTCACCTGCTTTCTTAGCAGCTTTTTAATCGTACTTACTAAATCCATAACTCACACATCTTGGCTTCTATAACAATTCGCGGTTGGAAATGCAGATGGTTCCCTGTATATAAAACATGGGTAATTGTCCACCTGACTCTCAGACTTGCCTAAGCAAATGTGGGGTTTTGTATATATGCACAACTATAGGATTGCAGACATGGAAGGGAGAGTAAACAGCAAACAGCTGGGAACATTTACATGCCTGCCAAAGCCTTTCTGGGGCAGGTGTTCCCATAAATGGGCAACAAATTGTACTGCCTCTTCACCAACTGCAGGGAAGACTTGTGGGAAAGGTCACAGCAAGAAGCAAGGGTTAAGAAAGACAGCAGTGCTTTGCCTGTGCTTGGGTTCTTGTCCGTCCCAGCCCTGTCCACTGCTCTGGCCTGAACCTGCAGGTGGTGGGGAAGGTAGCCTAGTGTGGGTACCAGGGAGGACTGCTCCCCATTCTGGGCTCTTGGTTTGGATACAGGGGTCAGCAGGCATTGTGAGAGCAACATTTTACCCAAAAGTATTGAAGAAACCCTGAACTTGGTGCTGTCATTGACCACAACTTGGCCCACTTGGGTTCCTTCTCTTTGAAGTGTGATGCTAGGTGCCTGAGGCAGCTCTGGGGAAGGTGGGACATCCCTGAGTTCAGGCCCCTAGTGGGGGTGTCAGAGGCCGGCCATGAAGACACATGGTGTTTTTGGCCTAGGCCTGTTAGGATCGCTGTCATCCTGGAGGGAGTTCATGTGTAAGAACTGATGTATGTGTATTGTTTTGGTCTCTGCAACTCTGACACCATGGCCTTGCTTAGGAAGACACTGTCTCATGTCCTGTACACGTGTGTGGCTCCCATTGCTGTGCTAATGTGACTGTCCTCAGTGCTATGTGTCCTGCCACAAGACTTGTGCGCAGGGCAGACAGCTCGTGGTGCAAGTCCCCGAGGATGTCCTGACACCTGCTTGTTCTCTTTGCCTCCCTCAGAGAGTTTTCAAAGGAAAGAGAAAAGGCTAAAGCACGGGGAGACTTCCAGAAGCTCCGGGAGAAGCAGCAGCTTGAAGAGGATCTAAAGGGCTACTTGGATTGGATTACACAAGCAGAAGATATCGATCCTGAGAATGAGGAAGAAGGAGGAGAGGAAGGCAAACGAAATAGTATGTATTGCCCTTCCCACGGCTGCCTCCGCAGACCCACTGTGCGGTTCAGACGCATCTGTGATTACAGCAGCCCCTCCCAGCACTCTGGTCCCTCCGCCTGTGCACATCACAGAACAAGGGCATTTCTGCTGACTCTGGATATCTGCCTGAGATTGGGGGTTTAGATTTGTATTTAGTAAGGTGGCTTTGTAGTGGAGGAGGGTCAGACAGACTCACGGCTGGCCTTGGGAATTCAGCAAGCCTGTTTCTGTATGGGCACAGGGGTGCTGAGGCTCATATCTTGTACCACAGGAGAGGAAGTTGTGGTTTCCCTCACCTCAGAGTGAACAGTGTTGTTGGGCAAGAATTTGCAGGGCAGCCTCCCTCTTGACCCTTAGGCTGCCTGAAGTGGCTGCCACCTGTGCTGTCTGTACAAAGCCATGTTCCTTGCCCATCAGGGGCTGGGAAGAAGCAGCCCACTCGCCTGGTCCCCCACACTGTGACATAGGCACTGTAGAGCATTTTCTACAGGAGGCAAGGCCTGGTACCTGGTCAGCCACTGGAATTAATCACCACTGTCAACCACAGTGTACCTTTTATTATACACTTCTCCCGCAGGTATGCTTGTACTCTTCCCGGGGCCCTCTGTGCCTCAGGTAAAAGTGGACATTGAAATCCAGTAGTACATTTGACTAAGATAGGATTTATGATTTGTTTCAAATCTGGAGTAGTTGATGGTGAAGGCTGAGAATGTATTTAAAGGGCTCATGTCCACGGAGAGGCCTGGGGAAGGGAGTTTGGCCCGACCATGTAGCAGATGCCAACTGAGTCCCTGCTTGAGTGAGCCCCTCGGTGCCATGCAGCGACTCTTCTGCTTGGCCAGGCCTGGTGCTGTGTATGGGAGGGAACCCTGGGATGGAGAGGATGTGGTTGGCCCCTTCTGAGGAAGGGCAGGCCTGCTCACAGAAGAACGCAGCACAGAGGGGCAGAGCCGCAGGGCACACAGAGAGGCAGACGGGAGCTGGGCGCTGAGAGGAGGGTCTAGGACAGGACTGGGTCTTGGAGGATGGATGGGTCTGAGCTTTGACAGCTCTGTGTCAGGAGGAACATTCTGACCCGAGGCAACAATGTGAGGGGGGCGTGGAGGTGGGCAGAGCCAGGCTCAGGGAGGAAGCAGTAGGCCCTGCACCTGGCTGGAGCACCGATGGCATGAATGTCAGGGTGAGCCCTGGCAGGAAGGGCAGGTGATGTGAATTTGTGCTGCTTCTGCAGGCAGCACAGTGTGGAGGCTGGGGCTGAGGCTGGGACCCCCACGGTGGAGGGCTTCTTGACTGAGGTGGCCTTTACATCTCTCCTAGCCTGGGACTCTGAGTCTATGCCTTCTCAGGGAGAGAGCATTTTCTGTCATTGTAGATGCCTATGGCTGATCAAACCTGTGTGCTGGTGGGGAGCCGGCAGAGAGCAGGCCTCTCTCCCCCATCTCTGTGTCTTCCCCAGCTCAGGAAGGGGCCAGGGCTTCATCAGCTGAGGAACATGAGACTGTGGCAGGGTTTCTAGAGCTGACTGTGTTTGTCAGATGTGAGCTGAGTTTATAAATGTACATTCATCTGTGTCGCCAGCTCAGTGCTGTGTCCGCTAGGTGATTAGATGTGAGGAGAGTGTCTACTTCTGTGTGTGGTCAAGCCACCCTGAACCCCCATGGCCTTTGCAGAGTTTCTACACCTGCAGTATTGCTGGCAACAGGCCATTTAGGTGCAGCTTGGAGGTGCCTGCTCAGCTCTTTTTCTCTTCATTTGCGAACTGTAGTTTGGATGCTGACCAGTGGAGGACTACCAGCCACCTGCCTCACCTCTCCTAAGCCTTGCATGTGGCACATTGGGTGTAAACCAGAGGAAGTATTGTCCCTTTTTCCAGGCAGAGCACTAGTCTCTGCTTGTGTAGGTGTGTCGTGCAGGGAGCTGAATGAGGCCATCCTGCAGGCCGATGCCTTTCATCTCTTCTCGCTCCACCCCTAGAGGCAGGCAGGGACCTGTGTTCTAGTGTTGCTAATGTCCGTTGTAGTGGAGTTGTTTTGATGGCCTGTGATTTGAAGAGTGAGGATTTTCACTGGACTTGGGGCAATGTCTTCTGGTAGTCCTGAGGGTTCACTATTTTATCTCATCCCAGTATTTCCTGCATCCTACAACTGTGTAAAGAACCTGTCCAGGTGAGGACAAAGTCAATGCCTCTGCCTTTCAGAGAACTCGCCATGCGGGGAAGATGGAGAAGTGGTGGCTCAGTGTGGGGCAGAGTGGAGAAGCGGGTCCCTGTCACGGCCCAGCATCTGCTGTGCCAGCCCCGAAGGGTGCTGCGAGGCTGCCAGTGGGAGTGGGTGGGTGAGTGGGAATGCAGGAAAGCTCTGTGGGGGGGCATTCCTGCTCTGCTCAGTGGGATGGGTGCTTTTTAAGCTGAAGAAATGGCATGAACAAGGTGTGGAAAGTGGCAAAGTTTCAAAGCCTTAAGCGAAGTTCGCTTAAGCGAACTACTTAGTAATACAATCAAGGGAAGAAACAAAGACCCATTGAAAGTCATAGACCTACAGAATTAATCTGGTAACCGGGCTCCTGAGCCCATACAGCTGCACTGTGTCTTTAGAACATCAGCATTATGGTTTCTGCTGTGCGCAGTGACATGCAACTCAGATTGATGAACTAGCTCAGTGTTTGATGCAGAACAGCGAGCATTTCTGTGGTGCCCCCTTGTTCTTTATCGAGCTCATTTTGCCAGGTGCTGGGGGGCTGCCTGTGGAGCGAGGCTCACAGTGCTTCCCAAAGTCATCAGATTTCCAGACACAAATCCTTCACTGTGGGAGCCATGTTCAGATTTAACTGACTTAAGAACAGAGCCCTGAGTCTCCTCCTTGGCAGCCGAGACCTCCTGGAAGAGTCAGTGCTGTTGGGGGTTCCTTGGGGCCTCCCATGGCTGCCAGCTGTTTTCTTCCTGTCATAGCCCGAAGACCACAGGAGGAGCAAGTTGCAGTGAGGCCCACACGGTCTCCTCATGGGCAAACAGTGACAGCTTTGCCATCTGCACATGCCAGGTCTGGGGCTGTCTCGGTATCTGATTAGCAGGTAGTAGAAGTGGGGGTGCTGCCAGTGCCTGCATTACAGTGTCAGCATCCTTCCTGAGTGTGTGGGATCCACCCATGCCTTGCACCCAGCTCTGCTCCTGAATTGCCTCTAGGGAAGAGGATGGTGCAGTGCCAGGGCTCCTGACTTTACCCACATGGGTTTGGGATGCTAATTCGACTGGGTGTCAGCATCCTTCCTGAGTGTGTGGGATCCACCCATGCCTTGCACCCAGCTCTGCTCCTGAATTGCCTCTAGGGACGGGGATGGTGCAGTGCCAGGGCTCCTGACTTTACCCACATGGGTTTGGGATGCTAATTCGACTGATGGCCTTTTTCAACTGGGTCCTGCATGTGAGGTGGCCAGTTTCCCCCTAGATGTTGAGGAATTAAGTGACAATGTGAGAAGGAGCCTCGTTGATGGCTGAGCTCAATCTAGATGAGCAAAGTGGGGTGTAGCAAGTCATTAATTACAGCAAATGTCTATGAGCTCACAAGAGGCAAAGGCTTGGGCTGGAAGGCATTCTGATGCCCCTTCTCTGGAATTGGTTGCAATTGAGTTTTGTGACTTGTGATGTGAACTTTAGTGTTTGGCAAATTACCCAATATTTCCGAGCCCCACTTTCCTTGTCTGCAAGAAGGGGACAAAGATGGGGCTGTTGTGAGGACTGAATGTTCAAAAACTTTTAGGTGTCATCACAGCTGTAGTAGTACTTGCTGCTGTGTTTGTTATCAGACTCCAGTAAAACTTGACCTAAACAGAATATTTTTGGAGACTCTACTAGCTCTCTACCCAACCTCAGGGTGAGGACCCCTTTTAGGAACATTGCCCTATACTATTCTGTTAAGAAAATATGAGGTTCTTGAGTATTGATGGAAAACAAACCTGTTGACTCAGTCACTTTCAAGATAGGGTAGCACAGCTTTCTGCCCCTTGAAGTCCATTTCTCGTTTGTCAGTGCTTGCTATCAGAGAACAGATGTCAAATCAAGCACTTGGAAATGCGCTCACATTATCTTTTCTCTCTGATCTGCTAAATGTCACTGCCTGCATCTGTGATGCCCAACACTGGTTGTACGTTACAGTCACTTGGAGATCTTGAATGCTTCCTGATGCCATACTCCACCCTCTGAGACTCTGGTTAATTCTGGGCAGGAGCTGGCAGTGGCTCTTTTTTATTTAAAGCTCTCTGGAGGGTCTAATGTGAGGCAAGGGCTGGGAACTCCTGAGTACTGTCAGTGGCTGATTATCACACTGTTCCAGGCAGTCACTTGAAAGAAGAGAGGTAATCAGGTTCCTAACTGAGCTGTCTGGTGACTGTGGTGACAAGAAGCTCTAGCTTTGTGCATTCACGGACTATTTAAAATGTCAATTTTGTAAATTTGCTGTTAGAAAGCTGGTGTTGTACGACTAATTGAGTGGACAAAATTCCATTGGTAGTTAGTTCCCGAACATTTGGGGAATTTTCAGGGATAATTTATTTAACTTTTTGCTGAGCTTTAAGTTTCTTAAGAAACCCTGCCAAATCTCAAAGTGATTTTTTAGATGTATGCAGCTGCTTCTGAGTTAACAATGGAGGTTTTCTAGGGCCATTAAAATCTGGAAGCCTAAAATTCTATTTTAAACTCTTCTCATTGTCAGTGATTAGTCTTAAAAAAAATAGCGTTGAAAGTAATGAAATCATTTTAAAGGGAGCTCATTCTAAAATCTGGCCAGAAAAGCAGGGCAATTTCATTGTGGGAACTATTAATGATCAATAATCCCTCTAAGTGGGGACATTTGATGCCCAAAGAAAGGGGGGGGGATACCTGAAACTCCACCTCAGACCGCAAGACAGCATCTGTCTTCCACCTCCTCAGTGGTCCTGGAGACTGTGGGCACGGTCCTTCCCGCCTCCCTGGTGCTCTGCCTG